CTCTTTACCTAACAAAATATTTGTTTTTAATCTAGCTGGATGCAAAATTTTCTTTAAAAAATTCATTCTCCTTGTAATTGAGGAAACTATAGAAAAGTAAAGAAATGGTCTTGAAGATATATGTGGCAACCATCAGTTAAACATGAGCTTAGCCTTGGGAAAAGCAGAAAAGTATGAGAAAGAAAGATTGCTCTATTTCGATTCTCTTTAATACAAGAAAAGGGGAAGGGGAAAATGTCAGGTTTACAAGATTCTGTTACTATTGCCTCTATCACTAAAGTGGATTGCCACTATTTTTGGGGGTGATGTCTTGAAGAACTAACAGCAAAAAATAATCCAGAGAAACATGTGATGCTTTCAAGGTGACTGTTATTGTAAAGACAGATAGTATTGGTTACAAAGTACAAAGAATAGGCAAGGACTGGTGGAAGTCAAAAATTAGGAATCACTAATATAAGAGACCTAAGGAGTCCTAGTCAATCTTGTGACAAATCAAAATAAAGTGATTAGGCAGGAAAGTAAGGTAGGTGAACAAAGCAACAAGAAAGAACAACTCCTACTTGGACTCAAGAACAGTTGCATAATTTCCAGTAAAAGATATAACATAATCCAATGTTATTCAGCGCTTGTCAGTCTGCTATGATGGCGTAATATTTTAGGGATGCTGGATCACAGCATAGGATCTAGAGCAACTTTGATGTAAATTGGGAGAAATATCTTAATGAAAGTTCATTATTCCCTCCAGTCTGTAATTCAATCCTATAGTTTTCTAATCAGAAATATTTCACAGTGGTAAATGAAATTTAGTTGTGAATACCTTTGTACATAGCTTTGAAATAAAACACAGAGGCTAAAAGAAGTACCATTCAGAAATGTTTCAATAAATAAATGCTAACTTATCACATTAGGAGTTGGATGTTCATTTTTTCCTTCCTGTTTACACTGAATATTTCTCTAGGAATTAATTAAATTGTTCAGCCAAGACTGCTCTGACAGCTGTCTTGCCTTTCTATTTTCCAGCAATCTAAGTAATCTGCCATACTCAGTATAAAAGTTGAGTGTTTCATTACATGATTTGCTCTTTAAGGCCATTTAAATGACTGCTCTTCTGACTGTAATCAAAAACAAAATGATTTAAGAAAATAATCTACCAGGAATTAGGAAGGATGTCTACTATGCATATAACAATGAGGTTAATAGCAATATTTTTAAATCCACAATTGGAACAGGACACTAATTACAAAAGCACAAAATTTCCTTCAGAAGTATATAATTTTTAAATTAAGATGTCTGTTTATTTTTGAATTGTTGCATTTACAATTTAAAAGGAAATTAATATTGGCTAAAATTTACATTTGATTCATTTGATATCTTTTCTGCAATATTCACACATGCAGCACTGCAGAATCAAACATTTCAACAAGGTTTCCAAGCTGCTGGACACAAAAGAAGCAGAGAAGAAACTGGAGGGCCCATATTCATCTATATATAGGACATCTATATCCAGAGGATGATAGTCTTCACAGCCTGGGTTCACATAACATACTCATTGAACTATTGAATCCAGACTGTATGATTAATGTATAGTTGTGAATCTATATCATTTAGCAAACCATATCTCAGTTCACCAGGAATTAGTACAATATTCATATTGAACCACACTGTCAAGATCAGAAGCAAATTATGTTTTAAATAACACTTTAAGTACCAGTTCTACTTTAACAGAAAAGAACTGTTTCCCAAAGCTACTTGCTTTACAATAAGGATAGATGGAATAGTTTCAGTCTATTCATAGGTCTTTGGTTTATAAGTTTCTGGCTCCCAGTTGTTTAATAATTCTGCCTAAAATTTCTGAAATGGAAATAGTTTGAGGAAAACAAATGTACTTCTTTAAATCTTGATGCATGTTCCCTTTTGCATCCTAATTCTGACTGATAGATCTTGGCAGTCCATCTGAGTTCCCACTACATACTGTAGATCTTGTATATGTTCTGTTTGGCTAAATCCCATATCTTTGGAATTTATTAACACAAAAAAAATTGTCAACATTTAACACATGAGGACAGCCAAAATAATTGTTATAAAATATAACTACCCCTGATTTGCTGCATTAGATTTTGGTAATACTTGACTATTAGTCTTCAAATTAGAATTGCATTTCTTATACAAAGGAATGAATAAAATAATTTTTGAACAATTTGGTTAAATGATTTGGAATTTTGTTTATGAGATATTTTTCAGGCTACAGGGTGTTTAAAAGACATCAATGTACATGTAAGAGCCCATTCAGTATAGGGATTAAAATACCAGGTCAGAAAGTGGGAGACCGAGATTCTAACCCCACTTTAAACACAAAGACAGCTGGGTGACCTTAGTCCAGTCACTCTCCCTCACCTCACCTTACCAATGGTAAGTTACTTTTGAAAATCTTGCCAAGAAAATTATTACTTCAGGTAGCTGTCAGGAGTCAACTATGTTTGAAGGTATAAAAAAAAATCCCTACCAATTCTGTTGTTACATCCACTTAAGAGGTTGTTCTGTTCGAAATAGGTAGCATCACTTTGGCTTGTACCTGGGGGCTCCCTTGTAACTAATGGTTCTGCAAACTGCCTAGAGTCCATGAGAACTGAGACAATCAAATCACATAAGTGAAATATTTTCTGCACTATTTTTTTCAATCAACAGCATCTCCATTAAAAGCACTGCAGAGAAGGGAGGTTTTTCAATCTCTGCCTACTACCTGCATTTTCACACCTATCTGAATTAAACAGGCAAAAACTGAGCACCTAAAAACCCTGATTTTAGGAGATCAGCCAAGATAACTGTATCCCCAGTTAACATTTCTGGGGATACCGACACAGTATCGGTAATAAGTAATAACATTTAGGGGCCAGCCCAGAGGTATTTAGGGCCTTCTAGATTCCACAAGACGCGGTCCCTTTAAATGTGAGTTGTGGGGATTGGCTCTCTAACCATTCGTGCAGCAGGCAATGTTGTTCCGGACGTTCCCTCCTTGAGAAACGGAGGACGAGAGCAAGGCGCCCTTCTCCCCTCCGAGGCCACTTGCAGCCGGGGGAGGGGGAGCTGAAGCTCGGCCGTCTCGTCTGGCCAGGCCGCACGTGAACCTCCACGTGTCCCGGAGGCCGGGGCCTGTAGAAAATTAGAGCGCGCTTTCCTGCTCTCCTCTTTGAGGGATTAGCAATCTTTTGCGGCTGGGGAGGAGGCCGAGAAATCTTCGCTTGCAAAATAATGAGCAGAGAAACATTTACTGATTAGTATAATTCGGGATAATCCGATCTGATGAGCGTATATCAAGATATCCTTGAACTGATTTGCTATCAAAACGCTCCGCTCGGGGCGCAATGTGTTTCGGTCTCCCCTCACCCACCCCCAATTTCCCCATCACTTTTTCTTGGCAACAAAATAAAGGGCGTTGACGCGCGGGAACAAAATGAGGCGCCGGGACGGGTGCCCCCAATTATCACAAAACTCCACCCGAAGGATTCATACGAGCGAAAGGCCGCTGGGGAGCCAACAGGCAGAGTGCACAACATTGGTTAACTTCTCGGGAGGAGCGTAATTTGGGCCGGCTCTCCCTGAAGGGTTCCCGGCGGGCGCGTGGATTTAATCACATCTCTCTTCCCCTCTCTAACGTGCTGGAGAAGGTTTAAAAGTCTTACTCCCTTTCCTCCGTCTATCGGCTTTCTCTTGCATTTAGGCTTTTATGTTTTATAAACTGATTAGAAGCAATTATATGTACTTATCCCTCAACTTTCCAAATGACTTGGCCATATGCATATTTAAGGCTGCCTCATCCCGCCTGGAGCTCAGCCTTTAACGTAAAACAGCTGAAATTAAGCTGATTCTGGTGGCACGTTAAAAAAAAAAGTCCTTATCCACTAATATCTGATCGGATAGGAAATTCGTTGTGGCCGGTGGTCGGATTACCGCTTCTCTAATTACTACACCGGATTTCCTCCCACGCGCTAGTAGTGAGTCTTTCCACAAAACGATTGGAAAAAAATAGGAAAACTGAGCGTGGCTTGATCTTCTTTTTCAAAAGAAGCAGAAAGGGGGGGGGGGGTGCATGTCCACTCTTTTAGAAATAGAGATGGAAAGGTATCTCCATGACATGCCTCAAATTAGGCATGGACTGAACAAGGGTGGACTGAACAAGGGACGAACACCGGAGGGATCAGAAACCTGTACAATAGGTGTGATCTGGTGCGTCCTGAAATAAATCTACCCAAACCGATGGTGCGCTGTGTCGAACTTTTTACTTCTCAAAATATTCAACCATCATTGTTTAGAATTATGGGAAGCCCAACTCTGGAGGGTCCGATCCATCCTGGGGAACGTTTACTTGATAATATCAACCAACCCTGCTTAAAGAAATGTTAAGTCGATGCATAGGATATTTGCAAATATATAAACTTATTGTATGAAGCTTTAATCTACCAATTAACCTCATGCACAAAAGTGATATTTTAAGGCGCTTTTTTAAAGCAACCAACCCACCAAAAACCACCAACCCATCTCCTGTACAATATAAATCTGACATTCTGGTTACCATTTTTAATGACCATTCTTACTTTTAGGTTGCCTTCCCCTCATTTGCAATTTGCATAATTTCAATTGATTTAGGAAGATTAGAGGTTGAAGGCACATGTATTTGAAGGTAATTTTGTGTATCAGGTGCTATAGTTAGAATAATAGACTGAAGATCATGTTAAAATTTATTTCTAAAAAAAGTTATTACTGTCTTAAATTAACTTTTCAACTTAATATATCAATTCAATGCAGGAATTGTGTTAATACACAATTATATATAAATGTAAGTAAGCAAAGAAACATCACATATTTCTGCTTGTATAAAATATAGATCAGTACATTTACTTCATAGACATTTTTTAAAGTATGTCTTGAGATGATAGAATTTGGAGAATGTTATTCTTTTCATCCACCCATCCTTTCATTTCCTCTAATGAATTATTTCATTGCCACCTGTTCTTTAATGTGATTTACAATTCTGCAGCTATTTCCTTTTCCTTTGCCCCAATTTGGGTAAGCAGAGTTGCTAGGAACAATACTAGGAGACCTACTATAGTATTGTCATTAATGAGCCTGTATAAAAGCTACTAAGTCTCTTTTTGCTTTTTTCCATTCTTCACACCTGACTAATTCAAAACAAGATTCCAGCTTCTCTGTATAAACAAAGAATAATAATGATCAAAGAGTAACAGTCAAAAGCAAAACCATCAAACCCAAGCCATTCACATCACAATTATCTTAAATGAAAGTTATTGTTCTGCTAATCCCAGGAACAGCTTGCAAGGGGAGATTTGAGTCTTTCTTTAATAATGTAAAGTTAATACACAGTGCTCTTGTAATTATCTTTGTCAGAAAACCCTGGTTAATCTGCATGTTTAGCAGAAAAGGACCAAATCAAAAAGTGATCTGCTTTAGAACACTTGATGTTTGTTTCTCAATTGTTTGCATAAAAAGGTGAAGCAGTTAAATGCAATCCAGGTGCAAAAAATAGAAGTAGATACATAACTAGATTCTGCTACCTTGTGAGTTTATTAACTCATGTCCAGAGGTTTAACACAAGAAACCCCTTTTTCTTTTCCCTTTGTGTGATAAGACATTTGAGTTCAATCAGATTTTAGTATTAATGGATTCCATGAGGGCTAAGAATAACTTTGACGGGGAATTGCAGCTTCGGGGCTGATATCAACATGTCTCCAAGATGAACTGAAGAGCTGGCAAGTTCATTTTCTTAGGCAGCCCAAAGCAAAAGCTGCTCCATGAGGAACAAGGATGTTCTGTTTGTAAAAAATAAACAATCCTTTTGGTCTGGCGTGTTCCGCTTGTACTTGAGATTTCTGTCTTTAATGTAGATAAAAAGAAGAGAATTAATTTATATGTAAAGTAATGTAAATTTTCCATTTAATTTTGAACCAGGAAGAAAGTTGAATCCAGATTACTTGTGTAAATAACACAGGTAGTGCTGCAGGGAAAGAAAAGGAGAACAAACAGCACAGCTAAGCAAGTTACTTCCCCTGTACAAGATCCTTGTGGAATATAATGAAATGATTGATCATCAATTAAACAAGACTGCTTACTAGAAAACTAATTCCATCTTCATTGACTGTGAAGAATGTAGGGGGTGGCAAATAATACCATATATTATTTCTCATTTTGGAGATTAATGTGTAAGACAAAAATCTTTTCCTTCTGTGCTTTAGTTTTTCCATGTCCCCAAGTCTTCTACCAATAAGAATCAAGGGTTGGGTGTTTTTTTTTTTTTTTTTTTTTTTCATTTTGTGTACTAGAACGACATAAATAACTTGTAGTTACCTGAAGACAGGAATCATTTTGCACATAGATGTTATCCATCATAGAAGAAAAGAAAAAGAGAAGAGAAAAAAAGAAATAAAAGGAAAAGTAGGGCACACTGAACAGCTTGAACAGGTTAAATATTGCAAATAGCTTTTGTTAGATGTGTGCCATTTTTCTAGTAATCTATGCCTCACTGAAAATTCCAGGGATTAAAAAAAGAGCATAGCCCCAGGTTTTCGTGGATGCTGTTCTTTAATTGATGTTTGACTGAATTTAGTATTCTATTAATTATATACTTTTAAATCTTCCCAAAATAAAATAAGCATGAGCATTTCATACAAGTGAATTGGAAAGGAATGGATAATGTGGAAGTTCTACTAGACATAGAAGTTTGTGTGATGTGTTAAAAGGAAGAGTAGGAATGCCCATTAAAAACACAGCCACCCACAGTCCCTTAGGAAAAGGAGATCTTGCAGTTCCTTAACTAAACCACATGGAGGGAACATTCAGGTCACACTCACCACTGTAGGTGGGCATGGCAGGGAAGAGATTGCATGACTCCTGACTGTCCATTTAAACTGCTGTCTATTGAAAGATCTTTTAATTTTCTACCAAAGTGGGAAAGGACATAGATGTTGGGCTACATAAAGCATGGCAAAGGACCAGACTGAGACATGCTACCTTTTTCATGGGACTGTCCAAGGTCCTGAAGAACCTGCTTAGCTGTTCCTATATCCAAAAACTCTCTCTTTCCCCTCCTTGACTGCCAACCTGTTGCATGGGCTATCACTGACAAGCCTTGCTTAGTATGAAACAACCTCCTTTTGGATGACTTTCTGAATTGCCTATTTTTTGCTGTGCTGACTTGGATAAATAGAATTTGCAGATGAATCTTAGCTCTCTACAGTTAGAGTTGGCAGCTCACACTGTGGGGATCTAGAATCACTATTTTGGCATCCTTGTTCAACTCCTTTTTTCTGTCTGATACCTTATGAAACAAGGGGCTGTGACAAGGAACCAGGATATCTATTCCTCTTGCCCAATAAATGAGCAAATAGCAGTGGGTATAATGCTACAACAATCAGTTTGGGAAGTGAGTTGAATTACCAAGTTACCAAGCCTGCATTGACTCTAAGCTGTGTACAAGGAATAGCAATCACCATTTCAATATGACTTTGGTAACAGCCTATCTTGCATAGTCAGCTGTTCTGTATCTATTTCATTTCATTGGAGGACTCGTTATATGGCTCATACTACAGATTCTGATTAAGAAAAAATGCTTTGTCTAACATACAGGGTACTTTGGGTTAGAATGTTTTCCTTTTTGTGAGTGTAATTTGAAAAGGAATCATGAAGAAGTAATAGGGCAGGTTTGGCCATGTTTGAAATCCCAACCCTTTTAAATGTTTGAGAGATCCTTTAAAAAGGATCAGGGTTTGATCATGTGGTGTCATCTGCCTAACATTTGGATACCACCAATGTATGCTGCTGCCTACTGTTGCTAAACTTTTCACACATTTCTGGGTTCACTCAATACACTGGACCAAACTGACTAAACCAAGTATGTTGTGCAAACATACCCATAACACACCTGCTTTGGTTTTGAGTTCATATATTGTACAAGTCCAACCAGAGATTTGTTCCTATCCCCACTGTTTAGCCTAAGATGATGCTAGGATGATCTTCAAAACTAGTTTTGTGACTATTTCCCTTCAATGCCAGCCAGCGTACCAGTGGTCAGGGGTGAGGGAATCTGCAGTCCAAAAAGCGGGAGATCTAGATTAAGAAAATTGTTAGATAGGTTTTCTTTCAGAAAGCTATATATTTGGTGTTGATTGGATGGTGTAACCTTTATTAATCTCAGAGCCTTATTATGCCTTGGGATGTCCTGTGTTAAACCTCAGCATGAGAGGTTCCCCAGATATGTTGAGGGCAATTTTCACTGTAGGGTCATTGAATTCACTTTGAGGAAGCCAAAGTGAAAAGTGAATGCCATTAAAAACAGAAATAAGAAAGCTGTGAGAGGACATAGTAATCCTTCTGGAGGCAAAGTGTGATATCGGGAAGCCCAAAACTTTTTTATACTTTTCCGGTGCAGAAATGTGCTGTTCTTTATGCAGGAAGGGTCGAGAAAGGAATCTATTCAGCAGGGTGAATCTGTCCAGGGCTGCTAAGAAGGGGTAACCGTTGGCATTGACAGCCCCTGCACTCCGCGTTGGGGACGGCTGAGAGCTCTGCCCGCCTTCCCACAACGCCGAAGCGAGGGAGAAGAAGAAGACCCCGCCGCCGGCCCCAATGAAAGCCCAGAGGGCCCTTGCTCAGAGCGGCTCCGACGCGGAGTGAAATCTCTCCTGGCAGCAAGAGGGGCAGGGCGGGGCGAAAAGGGTGAGCGGATTGCGGGCAAATAGGTGGCAATTAATTATCCGGGATTGGGAACCAGTTGCTGCCCCGCGCGCCGGCTCCCCTCCCCCCCCCTTTCGCCGTCGCTCCCCACATTTCCCCTCTGATTGGATCCAGGCGCCGATGAGCGCGGGATATAAAGCTCCGGCCCGAGAGCTTTTTCCCCCTTCCCAACCGGCGGCGGCAGCATGACGGGCCGCGAGGAGCTCTCGGAGGGCAAAGCCAAGGGAAACGCGCTGGCGCCCAGCAGCGCCTATAGCCACGAGAAGGCGCGCTTGGGGAGCCCGGCCGGGACCGGCGGCTTGCGCTCCAAGGGCTTCGCCATCACCGACCTCCTGGGCTTGGAGGCGGAGCTGCAGCCGCCGGCGGGCTCCAGCTGCGAAGGCAGCGGGCCAGCTGCCGGGCGAGGAGGCGGAGGCGCTCCCTTGCCGCTGGGCTTGGGCTTCCTGTGCGGCTTTGCCACCCAGCAGCCCGCCGGGGCGCCTCGTCTCCTGCCGGCGCACCTCCCCTTTCTCCAGCCTCGCTCGGAGCACCAGCATCAGCATCCCCGGTACGGGCCGGAAGCCGAGAAGCCCAAGTTGACCGTCTCCGGTAAGCGATTCCGCCCTGACTTGGGTCTCACGCTGGCGGAGGAAGCCACTTGCCGAGCAACTTTGCAGCCCTCATTCCCCAACCAGGCGCCGTATATTTCGGCTGGGACCACCAACACCTTCGGAGGGACCTGTTGGGGACAGAGGTCTCACAGTAGCTGGAGAGAAGCGGTTTCTCCTCCCCACACCGCGGGTTGGGAAGAAACCCTGCGGGATCCAATCACGCCCTGAGGATTCTGCTGTTCTTTATTTCCAGCCCCGTCTAGCAAGCTTCGCGGTTGACAGCTTGGGGCCAGTTTCCCTGGTATCGGATGAGAAAGGCTCAATGTATTGATTAGCTTTTAAAGTGCTGCAAGGCAAGGTGTAAATTTGGATACCACATCACTACAGTCCAAAATTACATCTAGAAACTCTATTTTATGGCACCATAAAGGCCAAACAAATCCATAGCACAAATACATGTATGTGTGAGGCAAAAGAATACATACATGTGCCCACTTAGGCTCTGGCAAACAAACATGGATATTCTCAGGAAGAATACTGTACATCTTCCATACTTTTTAGATAGAGTCCTTTGCTGCTACTGCTGGGGAAAAAAAACCTTTTCAGTATTTAATGCACATGGGAGCTTAATTCACAAATTCCACAATAAATGGATGTATCTCTCATGTAAAAGGGGTGCTTTTAAAATGCCTAAACAAAGTGTGTCTTTAAAAGCAGTATGAATTATGAAATGCAAGCTGCTTGCTACTTGCTGCATATCTGAGATGGTGGCACAGAGTCCCTGTTGATTCCCTTGGATTGTAGGCCTGTTAATAATACCTGCTGGGCTCATAAAAGTGTGGCCAGCTTCTCTGAACTCTGCCCTTCTATTTCAGACCTTTCCCCACTGGTAAAATTTTATTGACCTATTCTTGAATCACCAAAAAAACAAACAAACCTGCCATTATCTTCCTCTGTTGCCTTTGTTTTCTGTCACTGCCAAATACCTCGCCACTAAAGTGACAAAACCCAATTGATTTTTTGATATTATCCTAGGACTATGTCAGAATGGGAGGACGGGAGAGAATAATTGTAGATATTTCTTCAGTTATGTCCACTCTTTAAATGGCCGTTCAAAGTTATATAATGGGACTGAAAGATGGACTTACAACCAACCCTCAAAGTGCTAGCCATCACAGCACCCCTAAAATCATGTGATCCAAATTCAGGCCAGCCCACATTTATGACTGTTGACCCCAGAATGCCTGTCTGCCGCACCCCCTTCTTCACCTGTAGTATCTACCTTTGCTCTCTAGAGCCTGCCCATAGCACACCTGCCCATGGCAGCTGTACATGCTCTCTTGCATCCACCTACAGCACCTGCCTCCCTGCTGTAGGTGGATGCAAGAGAGCTAGTGCTCACCTATCACTTTCACCCACCAACCTGCTTGCCTGCTATTTCTACTTCTTCCTGCATAACAACCCAGTTGTGGGGATGCAAAGACACCTGGGATATGAAGACACCTGAGTAGAATTGCTGCTATTCAGTGGTGCAGTCATATGACATCATGCTTTATAACTGCATTATATTCCAGTCCCAACTGCCATTGTAACCTGACATCTACCTGTATTGTAAAATAATGCTGGAGTAAAATTTGCCATCCCTCTTGCTGATTCCTGTCCTGCTTCTGTTGCATATTATCCCATGATAATATGCAACAAATTTGTGACTGAGTGTCAGGCAAGATGATATGATGTGTCAGGCAAAGTGATCAATTTTCACCTTACAACAAACAGGGGAAAAAAAACAGATTACTACAGCAAGATTGGAGGGGGTCTGACTTCAAAAGTGTACATCAACTTCTCTAGCCTTTCTTTCCATACCCCCTTTGGGCATTTCCCAGCTGAAAATAATGCAAAATGAAGAAACATATGGGAAGACAACAGAGCAAAAATTACCCAAGGAGGAAGAAGACAGACCTTGTCCTGTTTTGCAACTAGGTCTGGTCTACCGGATAACAAAAATTGACAAGCTGCTGAATAAGCAGCTCCATTACTTCATGGGAAGAGGGGAAGAGATTGAAACTGACAGATATAGGAAACCAGAAAACAAATAACACAAATTCAGTGCAACACTCATTATTTTGAGGACACTGAAATGTAGAAAAGTGGGTTTGCTGCATCTTAAGATAAAGATGTATTTCAGAATACTGTTAAAACAGAGAGCTTAAAAACATCCCCTGTTCTTCCCCAAATAAAAGAGTTCTCTAGTCTGAGGCAAAATTGAGCTACAGTATATAAAAATATGGAATGAAGACAGTAATTGGTATAAAAGGATTTCAGTAAACAAACAGCTAATAAAGGAGGAAGAAAGACCCAGGGAAAAAATAGCTACCATACAGAGGAAAGATCATCACCATAATTTTCAGTATTTCCAAAGTATACATTTTGTTACACCTACGATAAGTCAGTTCATCTCAAAGCACTACACACACACTGAAGCTGTGCTGGTACAGTGTTCGAAGAAAAATAGTACTTACAAATGGGTACGTCTAGTAACAATTTAAATCTGTTTCACTCATAGCCGGAGACAAGGTAAATGTGTTGACTGGATATGATTGTATCATGTTAATCTGTAAGCAGAAAAAAGACTTAAAAGAAGCATTTTAGATTTATAATTCGTATCCTGTGCTTTAGGCCAAGAAACATGGCCTTTTCCATAGCCGGATGATGATCTTGGTAGTTTGAACAAGGATTACAAGGTGGTGCTTCTTGCATCTAATAAATGTAACTCTAAGTGTCTTTTCCCCCCATTGGTGCTATCTAAAAACATGGAGATATTCTTCTTCTGAAGTGTGTAGGACTTAAAGGCAATAAAGGTGATAAACAGTCTGAGGCAAGGGGAATGACCTTCCTTTGCTCTTGAGTGATAATAGTCAACCTCTACCATTTTGAAATTAATAAAACAATCCTGTTTGGTCAGTTTGGAAGCAATGTCCATTGAGTTCAATTGGATCTGTGTAATCAGGAAAACCTGCACAAAGTTTACAGGCTTCTTTCTAGAAGAATATTTGTGAGATAAACTTAAACTTCTGTGCATATGAGTGTGTGTTGAGAAATTAATGACTTGCTCCACCAATCTCTGCACTATCATTCTTAATCCACTTCATATGATCTCACATGCCTGTAGGTGGTCAACTTTATACGTAATCTAGAGTTCATTTCCATTACAAGTGCCTTTTGACAAGGAAGTCAATTCCTGACAATAAAAATACACAAGGAGTTGTTTATGATTTGGACAGTGAAAAACTACATGTTCAAAGACTCTGTCCCTCTCTCTTTCTACTTCACAAATTTCAGGGCTTAGTATTGAAAATTAGATTGAGTCTAAAATCAATTTGAATAAAGAATTGCCTGACTGATATAAACAGCTACTCTGAAGAACATAAGATAGACCAAAGATCTAAATAACCCAGTGTTCCATAAATATCTATGGAACGTCCATAAGCAGGACATGAGCCCAGTGACTTCTTCCTGTTTCCCAGCAGCTGGTGTTCAGAAACAGTTTATTATTATTTGTTTGATTTGTGCTCCACATTTCTGTACTGCCAATTCAAAGTAGTTAATATAAAAATACTTTCTCTGATATTGAGAGTAAGATATAGCTGTTATATTCATTAGCCATTGATAGCCTTATCTCATCCTCAATCTATTTAGCTTTGATCTCCCACATTACATGTTATGTAGCAAGCTTCAAAAGTTTCTGAACAGCAATATATTTACATGTAAGAGAACATATATATACATATTTTCCATATGGGTGGTGTGAATATATTTACACAAGTTCATCAAAGGGCAATCCTAAGGAGACTGTTTTTATGAAAGACTTTTGGATATGGAGATATGTGAAAATATTTAATTTAAAAGAATCAATGGGATGAATAAGATAGGAGCATTCCTGCAGGGGACAATGGATATACGTTGATTTATATATTTTTCCCTGTACTTTGATAATTAGTCTTATAGATATTAAATATTTACATCAGAATTTGGAAATTATATTATTTGCCTCATGCATTCTCTCTTCCCACGTTCCCTGTCATACATCTACAATAGGCATGTTGGTTCTTCTGGAGGAATGGAGGAGTGGTATGCCATATATTTAGGAAATTTCAAACAAATTCAAATTCCACTGTTATGGAACTCACCCCTGAAAAAAATAGGATATCACAGAGAAATTAAAGGGTGTATATGTGAAGAAAAGAGAGTACTAAAATACTATGGTGTTTTGAAAATACTGCATTAGAGACAGATCTTTTTCTTTGGTTTGGTAAAACCAGTAGGCATATATTGAAGAGAAACCAGTTAAGGATTAGAGGGAATTCATGTGGTTTGAAATAGTTGCATTAAACGGTGTGATCATTTTCATATCATCTCTGATTTCGATTATTTTCATTCTTTCATTAATATAGAAAAGCAAAAGATGACATCCTTGCTGTGCTTGGGGAAGGATCTTGGTGGGATCATCATGGCTCATCTATTTTCCTTTCCTTTTTCTTGATCTTTTGGTAGACTGGTTGGATTGCCTCCAATTCTACTCCTATACTAGCTCCTATACTAGCAGAAATTGGCTCATTTATTCTAGCTGTTCTCCTGATGCTGAACAGCCAGAGTTTCTGCCAGTACTTCTTACTCCCTACATGCTGGCTGGGAAATTTGGGAAGTTGAAGTCTATACGTCTTAAAGTTATGGGGTTGAAATACACAGTCCTACCCATTTCTTTTTCCTAAGCATGTACATGGCTAGAGTTGGCTCATCTATATTCCTAACAATAGGAAGAATTGGTTTAATCAGTGCTGGCTACTTGCCAATCCTGGTTGCTGTCCAAGATGTACTTTGTTTCTTGATTATTGCTACATCAGGAATTGATGAAGAGTTATTAGTATGTTTGTATGGTTATTTATTTTTCTGGTTTGACTGTTGAATGCTGTTATTGTAGATTTTTTTAAAAAAACTGTGACTTTTTAAAAAACTTAAAAATTTAATTGTAATCCTGATTCATTTTTCTAAGAAAAAAGAAAACTGATAAATATTTTAAAGTAGTGCTATAGAAGGAAAACAAAAACATATAAAACAATCCTACTGTACTGTATGGAACAATGCTTACAGTGAAAAAAGATTTGACACATCTCTTCTCTCCTGCCCCTTCCTCCCCCCTGCTATCCATCAATATGTTCAACAGATGAAGACAGTTTATCAGGAGACAAAAACAACCTGAAGGCATCTGACTCTCAGATCAAGAGAAAGAAACGACGTCACAGGTAGAAAAAGTAACATGCTGAATATATTTGGAGCATAGTCGCAATATCTTCTGTATTAGCATTAGGATATGTTGCATTAATATTCCAAAAATTGTTACAATGGCTTTGTAATATATGATTACATTGCCTTTTGGGATGTATGTGTGGAAGTATGCAATAGAATTATGAATGTGAAAGACAGCGGGAGATATGATGGGAATGCAAGACAATTGCCTTATACCAGTTTCACATTCCAGCTCATTTCGTGGTCTCAATCCTGGTACCCTATCAGCAGGCCTTCAGTGGCCCTGGCTTTTGGTTGTTGTTTTTAAATGCCAGGTCAGTTGGTAAGAAGTCCCACATAGTGATTTAATCATTGATAAGAGGGCCAACCTGGCTTGTATTACCAAAACTGTAGGGTCCAAAAGATGGGCAATCCATTTGGAGATATGCCCAGCTGGGTTTTGGGTTTGGCATTAGCCAAAGCTCTAGGGTAGGGGTGGGGCTGTGATGATTATCATCTGGGAATATTATAGCTTTAAAGAGTGCTGGATCACAGGTCACTGGATGTGAGACCCTGTTCATTAAATTGGGCTCTAGGGATTCACCAATCTCTCTGCTGTACAGCAACCTCCCTGCCTAAGCAAATTGACTTCATTTCTGGGTCTGGGGTAGCTCTGGAATTCATGGTCACCAAGATGGCCAGGGGCTTATCCCAGATCATCTGGAACCCAACATGGAACAAGAGTCATACACCAGATCTGATGTTCCTATCAGAGCAGTGGCTTTGTGAACTGAAATTGGGGGAGCTCATGGTGTCGTCTTTGTCATGGTCAGATCAGACCCTAATTTCCATGTGATTTTCTAGTGCTACTGCAGGGAAGCGGAACCCATTAGATTGGTCTGTCCCATTACTGATGGACCTGGATAGGTTTCAGAGGGAGCTGGGGATTGTTCCTGTTGATCTGCTGCATGATCCATCTGAAGCTGTATAGAACCATGATTAAGTCCTACTTTGTGGCATTAAGGGGTGGTGGTGGTGAAGCATCAGTACTTTGCCCTTATTACATCTGCAGATAGCTGCCCTGCAGCCCTTTTCGAGTAATAAGAGCCATCTTGGGTAAAGAAGACTTAGAGGACCTCTTGCAGGGATATGCAAAGAATTTATTCAGAGTCATCTGGAGAAAGTCACTTAGATTTGCTTACAGTTGGACATCAGCCTTGTTACAGGTTCACAGGACACACCTGGAGAGGAATCTTGCCCAGTTATCTGGGAACAGTTTGAACCCGTTGGACTTGAGGAAGTGGACAAGGTCCTTAAAACTGTGTGCTTACCCGTCTGTTCTTTAGATCCATGCCCTTACTGGCTTGTTAAAGTTGTGTGACTGGGTTCCAGCAGTGGCTAACTCTTCTTTGAGTGAGGGCTTTCTTTATCTCTTAAAGATTTGGTTTGCCCCTTCATAGGAAGCCATCATTTAACCCCACCAGAGTGAACAATTTTAGTCTAGCATCTAACTTCCCCTGTTTGGGGAAGGAGATTGAGAAGATGGTTATGCAACAACTTCAGAGGATGTGGATGAACCAGATTATCTGATCCTTTTCCGTCAGCATTCAAATTTTTGTGTATAACACTGAAACAGTATTGGTCATGCTTTTGGATGATCTTTGGTGTCGGTGGGAAGGGGTTCTCCATCAGTTCTTGCCCTACTTGGACTCTTGCCAGCTTTTGATATCATCAAACATGGTATCCTTCTGGATTGGCTCAATGGAGCACATGGTGCTCAACACTGAGGGGCACTCAGAAGAATATGTGGAACAATGTTGTGCTGGATCACCACCTTTCTCTGTGGTCAAGTCCAGTTGGTGGTGATTAGGGAGGACTTTTTAAAAAAAGTTTTTGCTCCCTACTATAGTACTGCTGCTATTACCTTGTTTGGTAATGAAACATCTGCAAGAAAACAATCAAGCTCAACAAGCACTAGATTAAATACAACATTTACTTTATATGTCTGGTTCTACAGGAGCATATTCCTCATTTAAGATGCCCCATGGGCAATCTAATCTGGACGGTATTTATTTCTGTCCTCATAGAACTGTGTTTACTGCCCATCAGCTGGAAGAACTGGAAAAGGCTTTTAATGAAGCTCATTACCCTGATGTATATTCCAGAGAAATGTTAGCTATGAAAACTGAACTGCCTGAGGACAGAATACAGGTAGGTTGTTTTGTGTCTAGTGTCACTGGATTTGTTTAATACAATTGACGAATGCAGGGCCCAAACTCTTCTAGACCTACCTAAGTTTGAAGTTTGCAAGACAGTTTTACAGAAAACATTGAAGCATTTTCAGGGCTTGAAAACTTTTCAGGGAGAAGGGCAGAGGGGTCCATAAGGTATGGTCAAAATAGCAGACAGTAGCTATGACCGTACGATCAATGCTCTGTTTTTGTGTGTGTCACATGTGTGACACAAGGATTTGAACGAATCATCATGACTGCCATCTTGATTTTTTAAATGGTATCATGCAGACATTCCAGGAGAAGGGCTGCTCTATGGTAGCTGCTATTGCAAGTCACATCTAGAATCTTATTAAAAATAATACTAAAATAATAATTCTCCCCTGCTTGGGGAGAATTCAATTGAGAACCATTTGAAATTGACATTTATGAGTTAAGGGGAGGCGAGATGAAAGTATCTAAGAAATCATGCTATCTTAGCAAATCTGCCACAGGATAGAAGGCTAGGATAAATAATCTATTGGTCATTTGACTGTTATTCAAGATGAGTACAATCAGACTGAGGAAGCTTTTTAGATCAACAGAAAAACATCGGTCAGACATTAGATGCAATCTATAACATACTTTCTCCCAGGGTTTTCAAGTCAATCCTTTATCTCAGGGTTGACTTGAAAAATGACAAAATACAAACAGGTGTGTGGTTCTAATCTTTGGAAATAGAGAATGTTTGGCTGCTTTTTGATATATTTACAGAGGAAGAGGCCCAGTGAATTCTCCAAAATTGGTTGTTCATGGTTAAGGTTAAAAAAAAAGTTAAATATTAATATGATATCATAATGAAATCCTAGAATATAACTGTTCTTTTAAACTTTCTTATCTGAATCCTGATTTGAAAAGAGATGCCAAACATTCTTTATGTACACACGGCTAATTATTGTTCGGTACAAAACAAAGATCTACCCCTACCCTCCAAAACTGTGTGCCTACCTCAAAATTGGCCAAAATGGAGAAAGTATTAAATGCATTGGGGGAGGCATTCTCCATCAATTATGTTGAATTAAATTACAAATAATTAAACTAAATAGTTTTTGTCACTGTCACCCACTTTTTGGATTGCTGTTTTGCTCATACCTTCAAAAGCTGCATGGTTTTGTTAGCCTGAAAAATGTTATCCAGTCCTGTATAGAACATGGACACTATGCATTCATTGTCCAGCAGGATTAACTTTTTAGAAAAAGAAGTCTAATGAAAGTGTCTGAGAAAATTCTCAGTCCTCCAGGTCATGGTTGTCCCAAGATGTTTTTCAAAATGCAACTGGACTTTCTTGGGTTTTTTTTTTCCTTGAAGACATTTCACTTCTCATCTAAGAGTTTTCAATTCTCCGAACTGAAGAAGATTCTTAGATGAGAAGCAAAACATTTTCAAGGCAAAAAAAACAACAAAGTCCTTCTGCCTTTTGAAAAGTACTTTTGGGACAAGTCTAATGAAAAATAAGCATTAGGGCTTAGTATATCAATAGCAAAGCAAGTAGAAATCAGTCTATTAGTTGACTTTTCCAAGCAACATCCTCACATAAAAACCAATGAAAGGATGAGGAAAATATTGTGATTCCTATGGGAATGAATTAGGCAATTGTTGATTTGACAAAAAACTTTTAAAGCCCCTTTGTTTTATTTATGCTGACCAAGTGATCAATAAATGTTGTTCACCTGCCATGTTTATTTAATGTACTGTTTTCTCCTCTCCTTTCAATCCCATTCATGCACATGGACACACATATATTGTTGTTAAATGTGTGCTTCTGGTTCTACTTTTGAAAGGTTTGGTTTCAGAACCGAAGAGCCAAGTGGCGGAAGCGTGAGAAATGTTGGGGCCGCAGTAGTGTGATGGCCGAATATGGTCTCTATGGTGCCATGGTGAGGCACTCCATCCCACTTCCAGAATCAATTATCAATTCTGCTAAAAGTGGAATGGTTGGTTCTTGTGCCCCTTGGTTGTTGGGTAAGTGTGTCTATAGCATTGTTAATGTATAGGTCCGTGATGGCGAACCTATGGCACACATGCCACAGGTGGTACGCAGAGCCATTTGTGCCGGCACATGAGCTGCAGGCAAACTTACCTCACTATGCATGCGCGCGCCTCACAGCTGATTTTCGGCTTGTTTGAGGCATTTTTCGGCTCCCAGAGGCTTGAGGAAAGCCTTTGCAGGCCAAAAAATAGGCCCATTTTGTCACTTCCTGCATTTCCGGAAATACCGAAAGTGACAAAATGGGCCCATATTTTTGCCTGCAAAGCTAGCAGAAGCTTTCCTCAGGCCTCTGGGAGGCCAAAAAAGGCCTCAAATGGGCTGAAAATCAGCTGGAAGGTGCAGTGCAGGTAAGGGGGCAGCGGGGGGGATTGCGCATGCATGCACAGGGGGCATGGGGGGTACGCATTGCCATCTGGGTGTTGGCACACAAATGCGAGTGTGCGAGCGCCAGTGCACACACAATTTTTGGCACAGGAGCCCAAAAAGGTTAGCCACCACTGGTATAGGTGGTTAATATCTGACTAAATAAAAAATGACTAAGTACTACTATTTCCTATTGAAAGTATCCTTTTCCTTCGTTTACTCACAGTTGATCACTAGCAGTAGAACACAGGTGTCAAACCTGATCGTATTACTTGATCTATCATGATGTTTTTTGCCTTTGTGGACCCAGGGTGGGCATGCTCTGCCCGTAACTCATCCAGCATGTGGGCCACCAATTTGACATCCCTGCAGTAGAATGACTGACCCTTTAAAATGTTGCATTTGGTAACATAATGATAGAGGTTATTAAATCTGCCTTCTAATACCAGGGTAGCTGGTCTCCATTTAACAAGAATCCTATATTGTGTCTGTACAAGTACTCTTTGACTTATGACCATTTGTTTAGAAACAGGGACAGCACTGAAAAAAGTGACTTATAATTGGTCCTTAAACTTACAACTGTCATAGTATCCTTGTGGTCACATGATCATGATTCGGGTGCTTGGCAACCATCATGCATTCACATTAGTCACAGCGTCTCACAGTGATGTAATCACCATCACAACCTTCCCAGATAGCTTTTGACAAGCAAAGTGAACGTGTTGATTTGGAAGTTTGCAAGTTGCAGTCACCTGATGTCTTGCTTAATCACTGTGATTAACTTAGCAACTATATTGCAAAAGGTTATAAAATCAGGTGTGGTCACATGATGACTCACTTAACCACCTTACTGCTCAATGATGAATTTTCTGGTTGGTACTGTGGTCGTAAGTTGAGGATTACCTGTATGTGTATGGTTGTAGTGCTTAACTGTGTACTTATCTGTCCATGTCAGTCACTCACTGTCCATGTACTCCCAAGAAAATGTCTGTGCAAAACACATGCAGACATACATACTCACACATATTTTACATTTCTTCTTTTCTGCCTATAGCTAGCCATAACATTTTCTGTTATAAGAAGACTAAATTTGTGTGAGTAGTGGAATTTGATATTTCTTACCATTCATATAATCTGTGGTTTTCAGGTTTGAGAAACATTAATGGGTCTTCATAATTTCATAGAAATATGGAGTGATATACAGAACTATATGTATGTATACATTAGATTTTTTTTATTCCACTTCTTTTACTTTTATAAGTAAGTCAAGATGGCAAGCATACATAATACTCTTCTTCCTATTTTCCCCACAACAACTGATATTTTAGTTTTCACTCTAAATTAGAAGTGTTCACCCATGTGAAACAGAAGCTGTTGCATTAATTTCATGTCTCTTCTAGTGTGGTTGGTGCCAATCCATTTATGAGTTTGAAAAAAACTGAGTAAAAGGGAATTTTTCTTTCCCTGTTTCTCAGAACTACAATAAGGTAGCCCCGGAATTGAGTTACTGTCTCATTGCATTGATCTATTGGGAACAGGATAATTGTATAATAAAATTGAATTTTTATTTCTTTTAGGAATGCATAAAAAATCAATAAATATTACAAGAAAACCTGAAAATGAAGAAAAAGGAAATGGCATCTGGAAATCTGAACATCCCGAGGAGGAATTCAAATTTAAGCAGACAGAATATGAACGAAACCCCGCTAATAAATTAATCTCAATGGACAGTTCGGAAGATATTGCAATTGATCTCTCTAGTACGGCAAAACAGGAAAAGAAGAGTAGCAATCTGAGTTTTGGTGGAGGCCCACAGACCAAAATGAAAGATGCTGAACACTAAAGACAAGGAGGGGTCACAAGACACACTGCTAACCAAACACTTAAGTCGGCCTCTTCAATGCTCTGGCAAAATATGAGTATTATTGCTCTATGCTTATTTATTAGTCTTTTTCAAGTGACTCATTCACTTTACGTGCAAAGGGGACTTTCCTAGATGGGATATATCCAAGATGTAATTTATTTTTACAACTTGAAAGCTGTGTATTTTAAAGAAGATAATTTGATGCAGCTGGCTATTTTTTTTCTTTATATGTCTCACTAAGTCACCTTTCACCAAAAGTCATTTGGTTCTATTTTTGGTAGAAAGGCCAATAAATACCCAATCATTCAATAAATCTCACTCGATCAAGTACATAGAATTATTAATGAAAACAATGTGCACTAGATTTCTGCTAAATTAAATCAAGGTGGAAAATTATAAAAGGATCCGAATTTTTCCCCCAGACATGATTATTCTCCTTACCTGTGTATGGATATTTAATAATGATGGATAAATTGAAGTATTTATGTGATAAAGCAAATAATAATGCGAAATGCTTTTCTGATATTATCTGGTACCCTCCTGATATGCTGGAAACACAATTCTTAGAATTCGCCACCAGCCTGGAAATTCAGATATATCTATCCTGATAGTCATTTGCAGTGAATTTAGGGGAATTTCTGGCTTCAGTTCGTTTTAACAGTAGCACAAGCTACTTTTTCTTTCTTCTCCATTAATATACACCGGATAAAAACCAGATCTCTGTGTGAAAATATTTATCAATACTGTAATAAATATCCTATAATTTCAAGTATCCTATTGCACTAGGCTCCAGTTGGAGAAACTCAGGTTTCTTGTAAAATGTAAAGTAGTTCCTATAAACCTTACGTCTGCCTATTTCTATTGTATTGTAAAAGCAATATTCATTAGTTCAGTTAGACGTCTCACATGTACTGTACAATATATATGATACACAGAACAAGGGAAATGAAGAACCTTGATGAAAATCTGCCAATAGCAACCAAGAGCCTATTTTGCTTGACGGATCTGCACTGAAGCTTGTACGCTGATGATACTGTTCTGATTTAATGCTGATCAGAAACCCACTGACCCCCTTGAAAGCTCTATGGAATAATATAGAGCTATAATTGTTAGAAGCTCAAATTTTCCTTTGAAAATCAAAGAACACTGTACTCACCTTTAAACAAACGACAGGACAATATCGGTCCGTAACAAAACACACAACCAAATTTACTTTCATGGCATAAATACTGTATCAGTTCCTGATCCCTAACAGGATAGAGCTACATTTTGTTACATGGAATTATGTGTGTAGATTGGAATTCAATTATTTGCCAGATTGTGGCCTTTTTTAAATTCCAAGCCCAGCAGCTTTATTCACTAAGGGTTATGAGAATGGAAGTACAACAACATATAAATGTTTGCAGGTTGTCCACCTTGTCTTACGAGGGTCTTGTGTTAGCGATGTTGGTGTTTACATTAGAACATCCAATAGTCAAATTGCCGAAGGCTTGCAAAAACATAGATTTCTTTTATCCCCAATTACACAATTTCATTACATATTATTTTTTAAAAATAAGGAAATTAAATCTTTTTTAACAACGTTTTCAGAATAAAGTATGACCCTCTGTTTCTTACCACAAAACTGTATTGGGGGGAAAATATGCAATAAATCCAATTTATATTATATGACACTATGCATAATTGAACACAAATCTGTAATTTATAGAGAAAAAAGCCATAGAATGCGGAATGAAAATGTTATTTTATAAGATGTCATAGAAAAATATTTTGTACTTATTCTGCATGGAAGAGTATCAACATTTGATCTTTTTATATGTAAATCTGAAAAGCACTTTGGATATCTAGCTTTGTTTGTCATCTATTTATATATTCACAATAAATGTTAGTGTTTTTGTGGCTTTGTGGAACTGTATATTAGCTGTGGAGCGTGTGCTTACAACTCCTAAAGGCACTGCCAGATGGCCATTTTAAAATGCAATCCGCCAGTTCTACTTAGAGGCTTAGGGACATCGAAAGGAATTCTTTTTTATAAAACATAGATATCTGCATCTATTTTTGTTTGTTTATTTTTGAAGATACTTGAAGAGTGAAAATAGAAATAGGAGACGAAGGGAAGGGGAAAAGAGAATACATTAAAATTTTTGTAATTTTGTAACCAGGGGTGGAATTCAATTTTTTTAACAACCGGTTCTGTGGGCATGGCTTAGTTGGTGGGTGTGGCTTGGTGGTTGTGTGAATGGGTGGTCGTAGCCAACTCGACATCACTCACATCAAGGGGCGCTTCTCCTCGCCTGGCCTCTCATGAAAGTGGGAATGCTGCAATGGTCATAAGTGTGAAAAATGGTCATAAGTCACTTTTTTCAGTGCCATTGTAATTTTGAATGGTCACTAAATGAACCGTTGTAAGTCAAGGATTACCTGTACAAAAATACAAAAAGCTTTTTTGCTTTCAAAAAGCTGCCCTAAATACCAATCATTAGATTAAAAATACCTGCAAGCCGGAGTTATAAATCAGGCAGGGTACCAGAGCACCTTTTGGAATAAAAATAGTTAAAATGCAGTGATAACTATCAGCAGCCAACTCTTGCTCATAAAGTGAAACCCTTTAGCAAAGAGGTCATTTAAGCTCTCAAGAAAAAGCACACCCAGGAAAAGCAATCCTTAAATCCATTTGCACCACTTAAAGATAGCATCTGGTCTCACTCACTTCACAGGATATCCTAAGGAAATCATCCAGATTTAAGGAAAAATCACATGCCCCACAGAAAGGCAGTAAAAAATCAGTGCCAAGCTTGTATCCTGCCTCTTGGAAGTACACCCCAAAAGGACAGTGCCAGATACCACTAAAGCAGTGAAGGAAGACCCCCTCCCCAGATAGAAAAAGAAACCACGAGGCAGGAAAAAATTCAAACACAATACAAATAATTAAATCACAACATTAGCTGTTGCTTGTTGAAGCTGAATAGGGAAAATTATCCCATCAATAAACACAGGATTAAAGCTCACCAAGCACAGAATTAAACTTCACCAAAAACAAGTTTTAGACCAAAACTCAGAAAGGGTATGTAAATTCACGTTTGAATGTCAATCTTTCTAGCTAGCCAAGAAACCTTGCTGAATGTCATCTTGGTTCCCTGTCATTAAAAGCTTCTTTCTGACAGCTCTGCTTCATTATTCAATCATTTCTTCAAAGTGCTGATTGTCCAGAGAAGTATTTCCTCCCAACAGCAGTGTAAAAATCTTAAAACAACCCTTCCCCTTTAAGAAAAGTCAAGCCCCAGAAGCTCTGGAGACAGGAAGTCTAGGCGTACTGGCAAGAATGTAATAAAGGTGGAAAAAAACAAAAAGAGATTGTTTCTAACTACCGGTTAACAAGGGGTTGCTTGTCTCCACTTGTTTCTGCCCACTCTGTATGCTCCAGGTCTCCTCTATTAAACATTGCAATCTTGTGGGAAATTTTGTTTGAAAAGATTAAAAATTAGAACACCAAAAAGCAATGATTATGTTACTTTTCAGTTGTGTATAAACATAAATTCTGGTTGTGTATAAAGATGAGCATGCGTAGACAGATTTTTCAGAAAAATGTTAGCCAGAATACTGTAGTTCTGTGAATCATTTTTAGAACATTCATAGGGTCAAAAACAATAGGATCAATGAATGGTTTGGATTGCTCTCAAAACACAGACGTACTGGATATGAGAGCAAGAAGTAGAAGCTTACAATTATTTGTGATAAACTGAAATGTTAATTTTCTAAGTGAAACTGCAGGACATATGATAAAATAATGATTAGCAAAGGCTTATTTAATCAGAAATTAGGCTTTACTAATGCAGAAGTTTGGCACACTTAAAACCTAATCCTGATTCAACAGCATCTGCAGACAAATTGATCTGGGCTGTGTAATGCTGGCACCGGCAATAGTTTGCACGTATGACCAAACCTCTATAATGATGCAGATGGCATATCTCTTTTTGCTTATTACATTGGGAAACAGCTACCAACTCTCAGTAAAAATATAAAGGGTGATAAAACACCAAATAAAAATCAGGCAGTTTGACTTGCAAGTACTTTTGCTATTGGACAACACAGTAAACAATAGAATTGTACTATCTATAATAGCTTTTATTTGTGATCTCTCTCTGGAGAAAACAGATGAATATCTAAAGAAACAAAATTTTACTGAGGATTACAGAGCAGAAACAGATTATGAATGGGCCGATAACGATAAGGGACATTTGTGAAGCTATAAAAAAAGATTTAACCAGGAAAAGGTACCTGGAACGAGATGGATCATTATTTCTATTATAGATTTTTATACATATTCTTATTATAAAAGTTTTGAGGATGAACTTTTACGATCTTTGCAAAATACAATGAAGTCTATCTTATAGGAAGGAAAGATGCCAGAGAGTTGGCATCTAATGAGGGACAAGATTTGACTTTAACAAAGAATCTCTAGGCTAGAGGTGGTATTCAGCAGATTCTGACCAGTTGTGGAGAACTAGTAGCAAAAATTTTGAGTAGTTCAGAGAACCGGAAAATACCACCTCTGACTGGTCCCGCCCCCATCTATTCTCTGCCTCCTGAGTCCCAGCTGATCGGCTGGGTCTTCTTTGGTTGCCCTGCACAGAAGAACGGAGCTGGAAGGTAGGTTAGTGGGATGGGGAGGGAATGGGATTTTGCAGTAACCTTCCCCTGCCACACCCACCAAGCCATACCACGCCACACCCACCAAGCCACGCCCACAGAACCAGTAGTAAAAAATATCACTGTTCATTAATCAAATTTATATGGCTGCCCACCTCATGGGAAGTGACTCTGGTGGCATACAATAATTCAATACAACAGTAAATATATAAAACAATAATTTACTTAAAACCATTATACAATAATGATTTTTAAAAAGCATAAAAACTGTAACAGCAGAACCAAAACAAGAAAATAACATTGTACACAAATTAATAATAATAAAGCCACCTCACGAGTTTGCCTGTCTCCGGGAGTCCCCAGACCTGCTGGCATAACCAGGTTTTGAGGAACCTTTTAAAGCTCAGGAATGATGAAGCTGACCTCATCTCTGAGGGGGAAGGAGAAGATTCTATAAGGCGGGCATCATAGCAGAAAATGCCTGCCATCTAGGCTCTACTACATGTAGTTCTCTAGACAACGGAATCTGTATTATACCTATTCTGTTGGATTTGGTGGGATAGGCAGATGAAATTGGGAAGAGGCAGTCCCTCAAATAACCTAATGCCGTGCAGGATTTCACAGGTCAACAGCAGCATCTTGAAATGGACCTGGAAACAAACTGGTAACTAATGTAGTTTGTGTGGCAGAGACGTGATTTGTGCCTCTACCAGTTATGCAAAACACACATAATTGCTTGCACTGCTGCTTTCTGCAATAGGAAGTTCCTAGATATTATTCAGGGGCAGCCTCAATTAAGGGCATGGGTGATTGTGATTAGAGCCCCTTGATCCAGAAACAGGTGTAACTAACTTACAATATGAAGTTGTGCAAAGCTCTCCTAGCTACAACTGCCCCTTGCTCCTCAAGCAGGAATTGTGAATCCAGAAAGAAACCCCCCTCCCCCCCACACACACAATTGCTCACAGGATCTTCTTTGGGACAGTGCAACTTCTCCCATCACCAAAAATGATGTAGATCTAGAACTAAAACAGGACTCAAAGTTACTCAGTTTTGCCATGATTCAATTGAAGCCGGTTTCCAGACCTTCATTGCCTCCAGACACTGGAATAGGATGTCCATAGCACTGTTTAATTCACCAGGAGTAGATGTACAAGATGGGTATCATTAACATAGTAATGATTATTGAATAATGGCTACAAATTGTTTACCAGGATTCTAGCTGATAGACTGAAAATAATGTTGTAAGCATTTATTCATGAGGATCCATGTGGATTTTTACCTAAGGGATAGTTAAAGGACAATATTAGAAACGTGTTGAGCATTTTGGAATATTAGCAACATAATGAAAAACAAGCTGCATTGATTTTTGTAGAAGAGAATGACACTGACAATTTGAACTGTGCTTGCTATTTCAAAGCTTTGGAGATATGAAGTTTATAAAATGGGTAAGATCAATTTATATTTAATAGAAATCACAAATAATTGTTAATGAAGATCTAACAAAGCTTTATGAGATACAAAAAGGACAAGGTAGGGATGCCCACTGTTTCCTTTTTTGTTTATGTTGGTTCTTGAAATACTGACTAGATACTTAAGATGAGAGGATAGTGTGAGTAAATATTAAAACAGAAACTTAACATTTAAGGGCTTGTGTAAATGATTTGATGTTGGTTTTGGAAGATCCTTTTAGAGGGAATTGAAACATAAATTGGAAAACTAAAATAATTTAGTTCATTAGCAGGTTTTGAGATTAACAAACATGAGGATGAGGTTGTTAAAAAACATGAAAACAGAAGACAAACTGAACTGAGGAATAAAATAGGTTTTACGACTGAGAAGAAAATAAAATATCTGACCCTTGCTATGTCAAATATGATTCATTTACTTTTTTCCCTGCACTTTTAAATTTATCTTTGTTTTTTATTTTTCATTTTCTTCCTTACTTTATATTACTATACATATTTACATGTATATAGTAAAATAGATAGATTGTATTTATTTGCTTGCTTTTTTATTTAGTGTATTAATCTACCTGCCATTTTGCA